CACTTCGGGAGCATGCTATAAGGCAACAGCGAGCCAGGCCACCAACAGAGCGACATCGACCGTCGGAGGTCATTATCTTCAAATGAGTTTCTCTGGAACAGAGCTGTACCAATAAAGGGCTGTGACGCTCCCGCTGAGCCCGTCTCGAGCAATCAGATGACGCTGGGTCGATGGTCCTGATCGGTCTGATTGTCAGCAGCGAGTCTCCATTACCGCGGCAACCAGCCCTAATTATTTATCCCTCTTCTTTTGAACGGCAACTAAATTCCACAACTGCTTGCAGCCGTTGTCATTTTAGTGCTTCGCCAATGGCTGCTGGTACCTGTAATGTATTTGGGGCGGACATGTATTTTTGTTCGTCTAGTCTGCGAGCCGAAGCCTCTTGCGGCACACTTTTGGCAGCTGCAAGAGCACTGAGACGGCCCCAGACTAACAAAACCTGCAGCAATATCAGAGCCCGAGGAAAACCAGGAGCGAGAAAAATGTTCTAAAGGAATCGGAGGAAATCTATGAGTTCTTAGAAAACGTCTTTTTGAAATGTAGACCGAGTGATTCCATGCCAGATGTAAGGGTTGTATCATGCAGGTGATGCCAGACATAGCCGGGTGGGGGCAGAAGCCTTTGGGATCCCTTACAAATAAGCCTTATCATTGCAACGAAACGCCTGTCTCGCACGAGTTGCGTACAATAACGTTTGACTGTGACATAGCGCTCTGTGCGCAAATTCATCACAAATGACAACGTTTTAATCTGGACAGGCATGGCAAGTTCGCCCAGCGTGGTGGCCAATTTTGTAATGTGTACCATTCTAAAGCCTGTGACCAAAGTACTACAATATATCGAAATGTTTCGGATGGATTTTGGTCGCTTTGAACTGGTGCACACGCCTGTGCAGCTTGCTCGGTCCAGCTGCCCCTGTTTTGGGCCTCAGCTTGCGAAATCCGAGCATGGATCGCGAGGCGCTGCTGGCCGCCCTCCGGTAGATTCCTGGCCTCAGCACCGGCCGGCCGATTATAAGTCGGTCAGTGTTGAGCTCGCTTGACGATCCATAGACGCTACACTTATGTACGTCATGCAGTTGATTTTGTGTCTATCTTGTCAGTTGCCAAGGGCTGACACAGATCCGCGCGGCTGCGTGTGCGGACGAATTTCATGGCCGCCTTCGCTGATTGGTCGGCGATGTTGTCGAGGGACGTAAGCGGACGCAGTGGACGACACGCTTGGCTGTACCAGGTGTTACAATGCACCTACATTCAGAAGAAAAGGTTTGAAAGAAACGGCGGGACTTTCAGCTGGGGAACGCCTCCCTTGACAAGACATGCTTCGCTCTCCTGACACCTGTGAGTGCCGCAGCATTTCGGAGCGATGCTGGAAGATGCGCTTTACGAGAACGGGTTTGTTTCCACGCAACACAAAGATCTGCTTCTCATCCAGATGCAGACGTCTTTGTTTTTCACTTAATCTGTATTCCATTACGACTGCAATTTAGGTCACAAACCCAACGAGAACTGCCGCTCGAGAGCTGAGTCGGCAAAACACCTGGCGACTGACCACCCGCGTGACAAGCTTAGTCGATAGCTGCCTGGATGCTGGGCGATTTTAGTGGCGGTCTTCGTAGGTTGGCGTTCCAGAAAAAAGGTGTTACACTCGCCAAAGGCGGTCACCACCAGGCACCGGTAATGAGAGGCCCATGCTGGCGTTGGGGACGGGGTCATGACGATGCCATGCTGGCGTTGGGGACGGGGTCATGACGATGCCATGCTGGCGTTGGGGACGGGGTCATGACGATGCCATGCACCTCAAAATCGCTACCAAAAATTGTCCGCTGTGTAGTGGCTTCTCTACTTGGGTGCTGATGTCCGGTATATCGTGGCACGTTATATTTGGACAGGAGGCCGATCCAAAGGCAACCTGGCAAAATTTTCGGTCAAATTTCAAACGAAAGCCATGCACGAACGTAGCCGTGCATTGAGGCTAAGCTTGCACCATTAAGACCCCTATAAAGCAAAACACCAATGATGCCTAAAACTCAAGTTGACAAATCACATCTGACACCCCATTGAGAGCGTCAGAAATGCGAACGTCAGAAAAAGTGACATGACGTGAAAACGTGGAAACGCCGCCTACTGCACTGTCTGGCAAAACTCTTAGATAAATTTGTCAAGCTTTGTATGACCTGGATACATTTACGAAAATCTTGAGAACGTGACACTTAAGGAAAACATTATCTACTCGACGACCAAACAAGGAAATCATCCTGGGACCCAACACCCAAGCCATCAGTGTCTAGTTTCACAAGGGGTAGGAGCCTATGCTCTCTTTGATGGCAAGGTGTTAATATTCGCTGGCATGATTTTTGATCAGGGTGCATAGGCACACCTACAAGCCAGAGACAAGCCCGTTGTGTCTGACGTAAGGTTTGAGGCATTTTGAGGCATAAATCAGAAGCGCCGGCCAGACCAAGTTGCTTTAAAGCCGGGTTCATGCGACGCAGGCCAGACGACATAGGCTCGTACTTTCGGTCTATAAACAAGACTCCGGTCACAAACGGGCTAGTTGGCTAACCACCGGTGACGGGCCGGCTAACCACAGCCCACGCTGGCCGTGCAATATTTAACCCTATAATCATTGTTGGCCAGCTGCCGTCCAGCGGATGTCGCGTCCTTCCGCGGCCGCGTGACATACCATTGGTTAAAGCCCGGCGGCCATGCCCGGGGAAAGCCCCAGGCACCACCATTCTGGGCATTGAAGGAGGATAAGCATTAGGTTTTTTGTAGACTTCCTGTGATCGTTATGGTCCGAGATCCATATCGGAGGAAAATGTGGATGACGTGCGCCAGAACGCGGAGCGCTCGGCACCGGCTGAATGACTTCATCGTCCGTGGCCTATTCGAGCAGGTGGTATTTACTGCCGTGGCCGACGCACGGGGCGCTGCTGACCTAAACCACTAGTTCGTGGGGCAGGTCCTGCTTTGTTTGGCGTATCACCAGGGCGCGCGCGGCGCTGATCGCGGCCGCCCCGTCCTGGTGCGGCCTCCGAATACAATGATCGATCTCGCTGGTCAAGTTGGGACGTGAAGTCTCCGGCTTTTACGTGACATGCCGCGTGGCCTTGCACGTGACTTTGCACACAGCTGCTGTACCGGATTGGGGACGGTGTCTGCCCGCTTCGTGTAAGTACATACGGCGGCCGGCCAGGTCGCGACGCCTTTCCGGGTCAGGTGGCGGCGGCACCCATCCCCTCTTGGTGCTTAATTTCGTCAGTCATTGGAATCAGAGCCAAGCAACTGCGTAGGAAAGATGCGACGCGAAAGGTTACATGTGCAGCTACAACGTGATCAAAATATGAATCGCCGTGTAATACGTGCAATTTGCTTTGCCTAGGTGAAAGCTTTTCTAAATTCATAGACAGGCATTCCAGTCAAAATGTTAAGATAACCGGCAGGCACTATCATGCATTGAGACTCTCACTGTTCTCGCTTCAGGATAGTACTGTTTCAGCCCTATGCGCTGCTGTTCTATCATTCAAGGCTAAAGGCGCGTCATGGCCCTCAGTTGTGCAACGCCACTCTGTCTAGGTTTGGCGAAATGTTGGTTGTTTGACGAGGTGGGCTGGTATAGACAGCCCTGCCTAGATCTTGTGAGTCCCCAGTTGAAGCCTCCAAGGCCACCTTTTAGCGGTCACGGGGAGCAGCCGCTCTTGAGCTTAGTAGCTATCATGGCCTATCTTGGAGAACCCCTGATCCCCTTGCTTTTGGATTAATTCTGCATGAAACCGTGGGGAGTTAGCCTAACTATGCCTGGGGTGTCACTCTACTGTGGCTTCAACGCTTGTTTAGAAGAGATTAGCCCCAATTAGAGCACCCTCTAATTGGGGCTGGGGACGCCACTCTACCTAGGCTTGGGCATGCATTGGGTGCCCGCATCTATATGGGCTTAGGGGGTATCTCAAGCGCTAGATAAGGATGGCCTCTACCCGGGAATGAGGTGTCCTCCGGTTGAGTTTAAGACATATATTCAGCTTGGAGTGCGGCAGCTTTTCACCTGGGCTCAAGGAAGGACACTCAGTTTGGATTTAGCTGGACTACATCTGCAGGCTTTTTGTTACAGGACCTCCCACAATTTTGACCTGTAGCTGAACACAGTTTCTGGTCCTAGAAGGTAAACTCAAGCTCTCATGCCAATTCTTTAAATGCATTTTTGCGTGATGAAACGCGATATCCTAGGCGGATAAGTTAAGCTTTTGAGGGGCTGAGGTGAGGGATGCAGGAACAAGGGACCATGCTCCCACTTGTTGAGAAAATGGCACATTATAATGGCGATCCATAGCAAAAATCAACTTCAAGATTAGCTTTTACCTCTCTCGTGTTAAAGTGTTCCTGCACTTATGGCCCGGTCCCCGATATCTGATCCATATTTGACATTCATACTGTGCCGATGCATGTGAAAGAGCTGGCGTAAAAATCTGCAGTTCTGTTGGAATTTTTAAAATTATTTTCCAAAGTTGTTGCTCCTGTTCTGTTCTTTAACGTTTGAACTGTGAGTGATCCGGTCTACATGATAACCATTCCTCGGTTCCAGGCTATTCCCGGTGGGGTTTAGAAGGCAAGTCTTGATGTGAAAGTTCCCTTTAAAGCCACCGTGGAGCAAATACTCCCAAAGGGTTCGAATCCCTTCACCTTTTGATGTCCTGTCTTGTGAGCAGGGACATAGTTTCGCAAACCAAGTTGTGTCTGCAGGGCGGGGCTGAGAGGGATGTATTTCTATTTTCAGTTGGATGAGTTTCTCAGCATCCCCCTCCACCAAATTAAGTGTCATATCCCTAACCTTGGACTCTGGCCCACTTCCTTCTCCACATGATTATAAAAATCTTCTAGACTCCTCAACCTGTGGACGGTAGCGAGCGTTAAACAAAATTTGCTCGTGGAATAGCTATCTTTTTTGTCTTTGACGCGCAGTATATGAATCACCCCTTTCCTTGTGACCTTGGGCTTGGGTTATCGGGCGTATCGAATGGCCTTGTGTTAAACTGCGTTCCGTGTGCTGTCATTAGTGCGCGTGTTGAAGATTTTTGGTTCGCGGATATCAAACTTCGGATATCCGAAGTCAATGGGCTAACTGTTATCATCGGTCCAAAGATTGTCTCCATCAGGTAAATGCTATATCCTAGCCACTGATACGACTGATGAAAAACGGCATTTTAGCCACTCTCTTGATGAACTTCGCATAAGGTTCGCTGTAACTATCATCTTTGTTGTAGTGTTAATATATGATGCTTAAAATGCAACTTGTAGTCTGGATATAAACCTTTCTGTTCATAACAAGTTGAGTGTGTTATCAAGTACTTGATGACCAATTTGATGCATTGCAGTTTATCTTATGGGATCTACAAGTCATGCTCAGAGCATACATCCAGCTACTGCCTGCTTAGTTTCTTTGTTTTGTCTTATCCCTTGCTGCCTGAAATGAGCACATGCCATGTATATTGAAGCTGTCACCATACCAATAATATAATCATGGTAACTGGGATACATTTTAGATATGGTTTAGTTAAAAACATGAGTACCACCAGATGTGTTGTGGGCCGGTGCTGTGCCAACATGGTTGACTGTATGTTGTATGAGACAGTGTAAGTATTGCTGGACATTTATGACATGTTCCATTCTGACAAGCCATAAAACACACTTTGTCATCCAGCATTTGATTATGGATTACATCACCTGGCTGTTTTTGGTAAGGGAACTTGATGTTAGATGGTAGTAAAATGCTGATCTTTAACACCAGATGCTAACCACTATGACATTTTCCATTATTGTCAGGGTACAAAATCTCTGATGTTGACTAAACCCGCAGCATTAATTGCAAAAACTTTATGATTTGATAAAAACTGAGAAGCAAAAATAATATAGCTTGCCATGAAAATGTATTTAATTATAAATATTCACAGATGTCAGTTATCCATCAGCATAATCAATTATGTTTACAGGCAGTTACTCATTATCATGTTTTTACTGCAGAGGCCACATGAATGCTTTAAAAAGCTCACTAAGCCATGATTGTTCTTTTGACCTATAATCCGGCATCTGAAGCTTGTTGTGATAAATAAAGATGACCAAATTCTACTGGAAACCTCTAAAGAGATGCACATCATATATGCCATGCAGGTGTTCTGACAATAATTCTTGTGACCATCTTTGTCCTGCTATAGTAGATAACATACATGAAAGACTGCTGCTGCAACCAGATAATAAGTTCACTGGCAGGAAAACCCCAAGGTTGAGAGCAGCGATATTACATTGTCAAAAGGATTGTGATCAATTTCATGAAGAATAAACAGCATCACACTATGCTTATTTGAAGACAATTATACAATGCATTTTGGATTATATGTTACAGCTGAATTGTATGTATTAAGTGTATATAGAGCTGTGAGTTGCCATTAAGTGTCCTGTAGCTGATTCATTAGATAAAATAGTCAAGTATATTTAGGAACCATACAAACATGCCACAATTAACTTGGGAGCTAGTGTTTTATGAGGATTTAGCAATCATGTCTGGAGCAACAAAGTGATGACTGCTGGTACATCTGTGCAACAATTCACAAATTGCTTGTCATAATCTATATGACAATAAGCTGATATGGTGCTTGGTGGTTTTGGATAGTTCTGTCAATGTTACAGAAAGATTTGTAATTCATGTTTTGTTGATGGCAAATTGTTGCAACTAAAAATGTTAGTATTTTTGGTGGGTATAGATAGATAGGTAACATTGCACCTTTGCACCCAACTATTTTGGAATTTCCTTATTTGAAAGTATTGTTTCCCAATTTTTTGCCAGGAGGCTGGCTTCTGATTAAAACTCAGTACTATTTTAACAGTCAATTGGCAGCTAAATGTCTAGTGTTTAGGGCATGACCACCTCAATAATCATTCTGAATGACAAAAAGTGTGTAGTTAAATTGTATGGCTCTTTCAATGTGAGTGTTCCATTGCCAACCACCTGACATCACCTTCTTTGGCAGCATGAACAACCCAACGGAGATGGTGGTGGCGATCTCGCTAGCGATCCTTGGTGTGGTCTTCTTTGCATGTGTCATTGTGCTCATCTACATCTGCCGCAACAAGTTCAACCAGCACAAGAAGCTCATCAACTACATGGACTTTAAGTGGGTTCTTAGAATGACAGCTTGACATCAAGACATGTATATGTGTCATATCTATTCATCAGTGATGGGGTGTCAATTAATAGCTGTAATTCTTTGGATAAACAATGCACTGTTCAGTTTGACTAGTGACTTGTGCTATATAACATGACTCATTTGGTCTCCAAAGATGTTGGGAACATCCCAGGAAGTTTACAGTGATCAGCCTCAGAGCTGTGTGCACCCCTTCCTCTCCATCTGCACAAAGTCTGAGTGGTGCACGGGCCTCCGTGATTGGCCGTTGCTCCCCCCAGGCAGGACAGTCAGCTGATCACGGAGGAGTGGACCGACATGGAGCTGGACGACGTGAAGTTCTCGCAGCAGTTCGAGTCGATTCTGAGCGACGCCAGATGGGTGGACGATGCCACTGGTGAGCCTTCGGCGTCCTGTGGACACTGCTGTGCTCTAACCGGTCGGAACTTGCGGTCGGAGGCCATGCTCTTGTTCACACTCTTGCCATGTGCCTTAGTGGAAGCTGGGGTACTGAAATCTTGCCGCGATCGACATTGCACACGGCCATTGTGCTTTGGGTAGAAAGCTGCCGGCCTCAGTTGTCGTTGGTGGTAACGGCGGCCCACCCTCCGTGAACTCACCAGAAATTATAACGCTGACGACCCTGGCTGCTATGTGCGCCCAGAAATGACTGGACAATGGTGATCACCCCGCGCTCTTACCGCCGTCGAATTGCGATTACATGGGAGCATCTGCAGAAGCTCTGGCCATGGGCTTAACTTCTGTATGTAATTAGTTATGCTGACATGCCCGGGAAGTGCAGGCACAGTGGTGCCCGGTACCAGCATCCCGATACTAAACCTCAGTGCGTACGGCACGTCCTCGAGCTCCCGTCAGAGGACCACAGTCCCGAGGCGCGCGCCTCTGGACAGGGGCCCAGGCCGCCTCCGGCCGTAACGCCTCGCCGCCCATTGCCCCGGCGCCCACTGAGCGCCGTCCTGCGCAGGCCTGGTGCCGCACTGCCTGGACATCCTGAAGACGTGCCACCAGCTGACCGAGTACCTGGTGGCGCTGGCCATGGGGCCGGTGCGCAAGGAGCGTGTGCACGAGATCGCCGAGGTGTCGCGGCTCATCTCGCCGCGTGTCGACGACGTGGTGCGCTCCATGTACCCGCCGCTGGACCCGCGCCTGCTCGAGGCGCGCAGCTCGGCGCTTGTGCTCAGCGTCAGCCAGCTGGCGCTCATCGTCAGGTCAGTGGCGACGCCAACCAGCTGCGGCCGCCGGTGGGAGGGGGGCAGCGGTGGTTAGATATGGCTTAATGAGAGGTCAGGGTCGATAGCCGGTGATCAGTTGGAATTGAGATACCATGGCTCAGTGAGAGTGAGGGGGGGGGGGGGAAAGGGAGGATGGCGGTGATCGTTGTCGAGGACGATATAGTGCTGCAACCAGGCACTGTACGCCCTGTCTCGCCCTTTACGAACTGCTGATGCTGAGTGTGATGATGATGCAGCCATTGAAAGCAAACTATAGGTATATAAACTTACCCGACGCTTTTCACGGTCGGGTGACTGTGTGGACCGGTATCACCTCTAGTTTCAGCTGTTGGAAACCACCTTAAGTATAATGGAGTAGGCGCTCACTGGCGCCGTCTCTCGGCAGGTCTGCGTGCAGCAGCGCCAACGCCACCCACTTCCAGATCATCACCACCATGCTGGCCGACATGAACGACCATCTGCGGGTGAGAAGTGGCCCCGGCCGGCCGGTGAAGGGACTCGGTCCGGGCCTGGATCCCGGCAGGGGAGACGGGAGGAGGGGGGGGGGGGGGGAGTTGGGTGGTTGAGGTCCGCCAGTCGGATGGGCACGGGGTCAGGTGAGGCGGATGGCACGAGCAGGTGGGCCAGGGTCGGAGCTGGTCGGCGGGTCTGTCACGTGGGCATGCGAGCAGCAGCGGCGCCCCTGCCCAACGACCAGCTTACGCTGCCGTGAGGGCGGCGATGGGGTCTCTCTCGGTGGCCTCTGCTGACCGTGATACTGTCACCTGGTAATCTGTTGGGGCGCTGAAACGTCAGGAATGTCGAGCAATTGTGTATTCACGACAGGCCTGCCCACGCTCAGTGACCAAAGCTGTCATGGGTGTGTACGTGTTACGGCTTAGCGAGCAGCAGAGAAATATACGTGGGACGTCAGTCCGTGGTTAAGCTAAATCGGGCCTGAACAGGACGCGTCATTATTTATAGCTAGTGCGATTTCATGTAGATGTTAGTTCTCTTTAGGTTAGGTTAGGTTAGGTTAGGTTAGGTTAGGTTAGGTAGTTGTTTAAAGAGAACGTGTCAGTCGGGGTGATTAGTAAAAATTAAGAAAAGAAAAGTAAAAGGGATGGTTATACGGCGTACACCAGTAGGTTATGCTTTTTGTTGGCGTCAAAAAGTGGTGGAGCTGTCATAAGTTAATGAACGAGAAGAATCGGCCCCATTATGTCACACTGCGGGATGACGTCAGATCGAACCAGCCGCAGCGGCAGTTGTTGGCCGAGCCGTTGGCAATGGGAGTTGTTGTTCATGGCCGCGTGAATGTTTGTCTTCATAGTCCGGTGTAGAACTGTTCATTAGCAGGAGAACCTCTAACCGAGGCTCAAGGTTATGTGGGTAAATGTCGCGGCTTACTGTGATCTGGATATCTCAGTTTAAAACCCGAGGCGAAGGTGGACATCCGTTTTAAATTGACAATGATTGCCACCGAGAGTGCGTCCACGTGTGCGTGATGCGATAGAACGGTAGGTCAGAACAGTTGGCACTGTCTGAGTCAGGCTCAGCAGGCATGAACTGATGATTTCAAATATGCTAGTCCATCAGTTGGAAAGTCGGCTGCGTCCATAGCTTACGCATCCGTAGCGGACGCAACTACAATTTGCGCTTCCCAGGTTCTCCGCGAGGCGGCGCTGAACCACGAGGCCGGGCTTGGCGAGGCTCTGTCGATCGGCTGTCCGGCCGAGAGTTCGGCGTGAACTCGCTCGGCTCCGATGCGCATGCGCGACCGACTCGCCGTTCGCCGAAAGCCAAGCATGCTGGCCGCGACTCGTGGGAAGATCTGAAGCGCTTCTCTCCTAGCAAGCTCATTTTGCGCCCCTGCCCGCTATGCCGAAGAGACGGCAGGTGTAAGCAAGGCTGCAGTACTATCCCGGTGGAACGTGGTGCTCTGGTTTGTGCATAAGCCACGTCGCTCGTAATTAAATAACTGCATATCCGTCCATGTTGTTGTCATGCGTTGCTGTGTGTTTAGTGGGCTTCCTGCTGCATCAAGCTTGTAATATTAGTTAATGGGCCCGAAAACGAAGTGCTTTCTGGCAAGGTGCCTTAGCGGTGGTTCGCATAATGTGCTGTGTGTGCCAGTATGGCAGTGTGTGCCATGCGCATATTGTCATAATGTGCCAGTGTGTGCATGAGCGTTTAATTAAGGGCGTTGCGTCTTGGCCGCGGAATGTTTTACCCAATTTATTCCGAAGTGCCGCTATTCCAATATTCTGTGCCAAGTTCTGCCGTGATTTCACCACACCGGCTGGCCTCGCCCCGCAGATCTCGGTGTGACAGGTCTAACAGCCGGCGTGGGTACGCTATCGCTAGACGCTTGACCCGAAACTGAGCGGCGGTAACGGTCCGGGCTCGTTAGACCCGCTCGCGCCCGCGTCTTGGGTCGAGCTCTCGTGCCGCCCGGTGCCGTCGGTCGTCGCCTAGCCGCTGCGCCGCACCCGGCGCTCTGCCGCGTCCGACGCCGACCTCCGTGGATAGGCGTGCCGCCGCCGCCGTCGGAAGGTCGGCGTGATGGGGGGAAGGTCGTGCCGGCGACGGAGCCATCGCCACGTCCTCCGATATCGCCATGGCCGCGTCGTCGCCGTTATTGATGTTGCCGCGCGTGCGGGGCCTTGGCGCGCGCGGCGCCCGACCCCGCTCCCGATCGGCGGCGAAGGCTGGCGCGCTGCCGTCACGGCGCGGCGCGTCGTGACGCGGGCGGCGGCGGCGCGGCACCTCGCCACGCGCTCGCGCGCGCGCGGCAGACAGGCTCCAGGGCGGCCTGAGGACGCTCCGGCCGGCCGTCGGGCGGCGCGCTCGGAAGTGCTGCCTGAGCGGCGGTCAAGGCGACGCCGGCGCACGCGACAGTAGGGTATAGTTAGGTGCTCCGCCGCTCCGCGCCTCCGCGCTGTGTGCACCCTGAGATTAGTCACGCTCCGCTTAGTCTGCGCCGGAAGGCGTGTCGTTGGCTCGCTGGAGGGGAGGGACGCGCTCGCATTTAGATGCATTCAGGTGGTTGGGGGCCGCGCGCTGCCTTCTTTATTGGAGGCACTTGGCTTACTGTAGTCTCGTCCTATTGGTCGCTGTGGCCGTCATCTAGCGTACCGCTTTGAGGAAAATGCATTTAATACGTAACAACGATATCGTTATTTTCATGACGATGCACGGTTTCGACTTAACACCTTTGCATTTTGCTTTTGACAGGGAAATGCCTTTCCGGTCAATGCACTTCTCATTCGAATGTTCCGAGTCACCACTAACAACTGAAATGCATCATGTGGTCCAGATGCAAAGCGGAAGCTTTCAGAATAACTTCGTTATGGCGTGAATGCATTGGGACCAATCGCGGAGTGGTATTTGGGACCATATGCAGTGTTATGACATCATGTAGTGCCGCGTATCTCCGCTATTGTAGCATCATAGTGTTATCGACAAGTACGCAATACATATTTTGAATCCCAAATGTGTTTGCGAGAACTCAATTGGCAAGCAACGGGCAATAGAAGCTAAAGATATAGATCTTTAGCATGCGCTCGGGTGGGGTTAATTTGACCCCTTCCGAAGGATTTTCCGCAATGGCTTCCGAACGGCATGGTGTAATTGCGCCAATTTTGCATAGCTGTACACGATTGATTAGCGGATCGTTTGGTATCACAAATTTAGATGTGCCTCGTAAGGTCGCTGACGAGCGGCAGCTTAAAGGCAGGCCATGGATTCAGCGAAGTCAATTCCTAGGGAATAGTTCAATCTGATGCAACAATGGAGTGTTAAACGATGCCATACAGCCCTGGCATACTTTCTTAGGCATCACAGTGGTTGAGTGAACAAATTCCGTTGACCTTGGGTCAAATATGAAGGTCAGACCCAGGTCAAGACCATCCTACTTTAATGCTTTTGGGTTTGCTGTATGGAGTAGTTTCCGGCGCCCATTTACAATTTATTGATAACAGAAACCGCGTTATACATCTTCCATGGACTTCTTAAATGTCAGAGTAGGTCACTGACATAAAATGACCCGGGTCAACGCTTTGTTTTCAGGAATACACTGCCTAGCGTAATCTTTGTCGCTTATTCAAATGCACAACTCAAATCCGTCTTGCATGATTTTGGTCACCACGACCTTCAAAAGGTCGAACAAGGTCGCTGACCTTAAATGAGCACGCGACATTTTCCCCAGAACAGGTATCTTGGTTCTGCGGCACTTTGAAGACCAACCTGAGTTTGACCTTGTTTAACATTATTTGACCCAAAGTTCTTGACCTAATAGCCTCAAATTTTGACCTTAGTGAGTTCACAAGCCAAAAAACTGTGAATTTGGTGTATTTGGCCCTCTTAGTTTCTGAGACCTCAGGGGGTTAAGTTGACCCCCCCCCCCCCGAGCAAAGGGTATCCAACCGGCCACCCGGGCGCGTGTTGACGATGCAATGCTGATTAGGATGCCGACTTTCAGGGGAATGATGACAGTTTCCCCTGTTACGGAAGACACAGGAGCTGCGTATGTGGTTGTCTCATATTTATTTTCTCCGACCTGTGGTGTGTCATGCTCATATCACATGAGAATTCCATATCGATGGAGACTTAAGTGCAAGACACGTGCTTGAAGGGCGGTCTCTGCTCCCGGTGCGGTCGTCCGGCGCCTCGTCCGTGGCCAGGGGGTGTCGGTCGAGAGGAATATGTCGTCACCTTTGCGTGCGAGCATTTTGATTAGATTTGCGACCTGAGGAAATTGCCTGCCGTGGAGCTTGCATGACGCCTGGCCCGTGGTTGGCCGCCCCGCTAACCACCGGTGTGGTCTGACATCGGGACTGCTTGCTGGCTGCTGAAACTAATCTAGCGATGCTCTAATTGACTGCCGCGGACGCCAGCGTCTTTGGCTATCTAGTGTATGATTTTCGCAGCGTCTCCAGATACTCGTCCCGTTGTGCCCCGCGGCAGTGTCACTGCAATGCAAAGCAGCCGTGCCACAATCGCTCAGCCGTCTGTCCCTCAGCTGTCCCTGGACTCAGCTGTCCTAGATCTGGCCCACTCTCCCCTCCGTATGTTTCACTGCACCCTGCCACAGCGCTCAGCCGTCCTGTCCCCTCAGCGGCCCTGTCCTCAGTTCCCAGATCTGGCCGCTCCCCTACGATGTGTCACTGCACCCTGGCCACCACGCTCAGCCGTCCCTGTCCTCAGCTGTCCCAGATCGGCCACTCCCCTCCGATGTGTCAATGCACCCTGCCACCAACGCTCAGCCGTCCTGTCCTCAGCTGTCCCTGTCCCTCAGCTGTCCTAGATCTGGCCACTCCCCCTCCGATGTGTCACTGCACCCTGCCACCAGCGCTCAGCCGTCCCGTCCTCAGCTGTCCTAGATCTGGCCGCTCCCCCTCCGATGTGTCACTGCAACCCTGCCACCAGCGCTCAGCCGTCCCTGTCCTCAGCTGTCCTAGATCTGGCCACTCCCTCTCCGAGTGTCACTGCACCTGCCACCAGCGCGCTCAGCCGTCCCTGTCCTCAGCTGTCCTAGATTGGCCACTCCCTCTCGATGTGTCACTGCACCCTGCCACCAGCGCTCAGCCGTCCTTCCTCCTCAGCTGTCCCTGTCCTCAGCTGTCCTAGATCTGGCCACTCCCTCTCGATGTGTCACTGCACCCTGCCACCAGCGCTCAGCCGTCCCTGTCCTCAGCTGTCCCTGTCCTCAGCTGTCCTAGATCTGGCCACTCCCCCCTCCGATGTGTCAATGCACCCTGCCACCAACGCTCAGCCGTCCCTGTCCTCAGCTGTCCCTGTCCTCAGCTGTCCTAGATCTGGCCACTCCCCCTCCGATGTGTCACTACTGCAACCCTGCCACCAGCGCTCAAGCCGTCCCTGTCCTCAGCTGTCCCTGTCCTCACTGTCCTAGATCTGGCCACTCCCCCTCCGATGTGTCACTGCACCCTGCCACCAGCGCTCAGCCGTCCCTGTCCTCAGCTGTCCCTGTCCTCAGCTGTCCTAGATCTGGCCACTCCCCCTCCGATGTGTCACGCACCCTGCCACCAGCGCTCAGCCGTCCCTGTCCTCAGCCGTCCCTGTCCTCAGCTGTCCTAGATCTGGCCACTCCCCCTCCGATGTGTCACTGCACCCTGCCACCAGCGCTCAGCCGTCCCTGTCCTCAGCTGTCCTAGATCTGGCCGCTCCCCCTCCGATGTGTCACTGCACCCTGCCACCAGCGCTCAGCCGTCCCGTCCTCAGCTGTCCTAGATCTGGCCACTCCCTCTCCGATGTGTCACTGCACCCTGCCACCAGCGCTCAGCCGTCCCTGTCCTCAGCTGTCCTAGATCTGGCCACTCCCTCTCCGATGTGTCACTGCACCCTGCCACCAGCGCTCAGCCGTCCCTGTCCTCAGCTGTCCCTGTCCTCAGCTGTCCTAGATCTGGCCACTCCCTCCGATGTGTCACTGCACCCTCCGCCCAGCGCTCAGCCGTCCCTGTCCTCAGCTGTCCCTGTCCTCAGCTGTCCCAGATCTGGCCACTCCCCCTCCGATGTGTCACTGCACACCCTGCCACCAGCGCTCAGGCCGTCCCTGTCCTCAGCTGTCCCTGTCCTCAGCTGTCCCAGATCTGGCCACTCCCCCTCCGATGTGTCACTGCCACCCCTGCCACCAGCGCTCAGCCGTCCCTGTCCTCAGCTTCCCTGTCCTCAGCTGTCCTAGATCTGGCCACTCCCCCTCCGATGTGTCACTGCACCCGCACCAGCGCTCAGCCGTCCTGTCCTCAGCTGTCCCTGTCCTCAGCTGTCCTAGATCTGGCCACTCCCCCTCCGATGTGTCACTGCACCCTGCCACCAACGCTCAGCCGTCCCTGTCCTCAGCTGGTCCCTGTCCTCAGCTGTCCTAGATCTGGCCACTCCCCCTCCGATGTGTCACTGCACCCTGCCACCAGCGCTCAGCCGCCGTCCCTGTCCTCAGCTGTCCCTGTCCTCAGCTGTCCTAGATCTGGCCACTCCCCCTCCGATGTGTCAATGCACCCTGCCACCAACGCTCAGCCGTCCTGTCCTCAGCTTCCCTGTCCTCAGCTGTCCTAGATCTGGCCACTCCCCCTCCGATGTGTCACGCACCCTGCCACCAGCGCTCATCCGTCCCTGTCCTCAAGCTGTCCCTGTCCTCAGCTGTCCTAGATCTGGCCACTCCCCCTCCGATGTGTCACTGACCCCTGCCACCAGCGCTCAGCCGTCCCTGTCCTCAGCTGTCCCTGTCCTCAGCTGTCCTAGATCTGGCCACTCCCCCTCCGATGTGTCACTGCACCCTGCCACCAGCGCTCAGCCGTCCCTGTCCTCAGCTGTCCCTGTCCTCAGCTGTCCTAGATCTGGCCACTCCCCCTCCGATGTGTCACTGCACCCTGCCACCAGCGCTCAGCCGTCCCTGTCCTCAGCTGTCCCTGTCCTCAGCTGTCCTAGATCTGGCCACTTCCCCCTCCTATGTGTCACTGCACCCTGCCACCAGCGCTCAGCCGTCCCTGTCCTCAGCTGTCCCTGTCCTCAGCTGTCCTAGATCTGGCCACTCCCCCTCCGATGTGTCACTGCACCCTGCCACCAACGCTCAGCCGTCCCTGTCCTCAGCTGTCCCTGTCCTCAGCTGTCCTAGATCTGGCCACTCCCCCTCCGATGTGTCACTGCACCCTGCCACCAGCGCTCAGCCGTCCCTGTCCTCAGCTGTCCCTGTCCTCAGCTGTCCTAGATCTGGCCACTCCCCCTCCGATGTGTCAATGCACCCTGCCACCAACGCTCAGCCGTCCCTGTCCTCAGCTGTCCCTGTCCTCAGCTGTCCTAGATCTGGCCACTCCCCCTCCGATGTGTCACTGCACCCTGCCACCAGCGCTCAGCCGTCCCTGTCCTCAGCTGTCCCTGTCCTCAGCTGTCCTAGATCTGGCCACTCCCCCTCCGATGTGTCACTGCAACACTGCACCCTGCCACCAGCGCTCAGCCGTCCCTGTCCTCAGCTGTCCCTGTCCTCAGCTGTCCTAGATCTGGCCACTCCCCCTCCGATGTTCACTGCACCCTGCCACCAGCGCTCACCGTCCCTGTCCTCAGCTGTCCCTGTCCTCAGCTGTCCTAGATCTGGCCACTCCCCCCGATGTGTCACTGCACCCTGCCACCAGCGCTCAGCCGTCCCTGTCCTCAGCTGTCCCTGTCCTCAGCTGTCCTAGATCTGGCCACTCCCCTCCTATGTGTCACTGCACCCTGCCACCAGCGCTCAGCCGTCCCTGTCCTCAGCTTCCCTGTCCTCAGCTGTCCCCAGATCTGGCCACTCCCTCTCCTGTGGTCACTGCAACCCTGCCACCAGCGCTCAGCCGTCCCTGTCCTCAGCTGTCCCTGTCCTCAGCTGTCCCAGATCTGGCCACTCCCTCTCCGATGTGTCATGCACCCTGCCACCAGCGCTCAGCTGTCCCTGTCCTCAGCTGTCCTAGATCTGGCCACTCCCTCCCCTCCGATGTGTCACTG